CATAAAACAGTATAGTATGACTGGACAGTGTTGTCTTTCTGCATTTGCTTTGCACAAAGAGGCACATTTTAGGTGGTTTAGATGTGCCGTACATGCATTCCCTTCGCGGAAGAATGGGTGAGTCTCCTAGTGGTAAAGACACTCGCTTTCGGAGCATGAGAGTTATGGTTCATATCCCAGCGTCAGAAAGAAAAAAATGCTTATTTTATTTATGCTGAAGATATTACCGGGTCTGACCAACCAGTCATGGCGCTGAAAGCAGCGCAGTAGCTGGGCCGCAGGGCCCTACAGGAGTGTCTGCTGGGTGTGGGACTGTGCATAAATTCTACCTTGAGTTCTGCCCGGGATGTGGCAACTCTCTAATAGTATTTCATTTTAGATGGGAGTGTGCCGAGAGAGTATTTCCTCCCGTTATCCTCCTTCTGCACCCCTTCCGCACCTATGGAGCTGTGGAACGAGCCCTGAATAACGGGCCTCCTGAGGTCCGTCTGTCCTTGGTTCAACACATCCGGCAGGGGGTTCGCCGAGATCATCGTCTATAGGGAAACTGGACTATAGGATTGCCTCCTGCATTCTTTGTTTATACATCCTCAATAAAGCGTATTTTCTCCCTCTCTATCTAGTGGAGCTGTGTCATTTATTGGCACAAGTGTGACACAGAAGTTAGAATCATGGCCGATCAGCCAATCCAGCAGCCTCCAATCGTTTTTTTAAAGTGGTTTAGAAAGTCTCTTCATTTTAGCGTATGCTCTTTTAAAGTTATCAACTTAAACAGCGTGCGTCGGTGTTTAAGTCGTCTTGTCTCGCTTGCCTAACACACTTGGCCGTTCGTGCCCGTTCCCTATCTTATTTTTGTTCGACCAATGCCGAGTAGTGGGGCTTGCCGAATTTTTGTGGCACATACGCACGATAGGAGCTTTCGCGCGCAAAACGACTATTCCATTGGCAAACGTTTTCGCAACCTTCACCGCCTAGAGAGGGCACTAGTGCACGCCCAACACGGCTGTCGTTTGGGAAATCGTGCAGCAGCCGCCGGTGTGCCCGTCACTTCGAACTGCGTAGTGTTTTCGGCTGCAGCCATCGTGTTGTGAAGCCTTTGGTGAGAAGGTCATTGACTCTAGCACGGATTATATCTCACACTGCGTGTTGAGAAACGCGTGTGCGGCGTGTATTGAAGGAAGAGACGTTTTGAACGCCGGACACGTCGTCTGCTGCGGTGTGAAGGAATTCACGTACAGCTTTGTGAACGCTGCTCGTTGCCACGGTCGGGGAAGATCGAGCGACCGTGCTCGTGCAAAGCAGGAAACCTCCCTTTGACTGCACGGCGTCGGCACAGCGGCATCCAACATATTTCGTGACCCTTCTAGCTATAGCAAGCAAACAATAAAGAGTAAATCATTGCTACTACGTCTCGCAGTACCTGTCCGACTTCGGTAGTTCACTGCCAAATTCAGAATGACCATAGTAGAAATCGCCAGCGACAAAATGTAAAGTACCAGCGATCCGCCAATGTGAGGCCGACTGTAAGATGGCATGCGCTGGCTCCAAACGACAGTTACGACGGATGCCGCATGACGACGCCACCATCTGTGAAAGTTGCGTATAGCATACACACTACCACCGAGAAAGTTACAATATATTGAATATAAATGACGCTGTTGTAGTAGGTTGTCGATAATATCGAACAGAGTCTGCGTTTAAACCACGCAAGTGTGGAAGGCACGTTTTTCTGAGCGGCACACGCCGACGGCCAATACGTATATCTTAGTAAGGCTACGCCGCAGTTCCTTTTCCCAGACACACTGGATTGTAGCTATCAAGGTCGCGGGGCTGAGGCGACAGGAAGGGCATTGCCGACATCCCTGGCGCTCGCTGTGAAGCGAATTACTTGAGGAAGTCGTGGTACCTATTCTGACCGAGCTATGGCTTCTTCGGCCCCGTCATTTCGACGAGATGGCCTCAGTTGTTCCAAAGAGGGAACTAGTCCGAAAATTTCTGTCGCTGTATTGAAGCTTGAGGAAGGGGCCCGACTTTAAAGATTTCGCCAGTTGCTCGTGGTTTTGAGATATGAAACCCCGCAAATGGCTATTCTCAGGTGGCACCTGACATCGTCAGAGTCGACCTTAAGGAATGCATCGCGGCGGCATTGGTCTGATCGTGTAAGTCACACTGACTAAAAGTTGACGGCACTCATGAAGAATGACGGGATCGTTTCGTAGTGGCTCCATGCAGCCATACAGTAAAAATACTGCAACTCATGTTTTACAAGGTAATGTTACGCAACATTTAGCTGCGCACGTCACGTTTATTACAACATCCACCGTTTTTCTTATTTTTTTCTCACAGCTTGCATTGCGGTGCATAATCATCGGTTCACTTAACACCGAAGAGCGCTGAGCATGTGTGACGTCATAGCATTTACATTGCCTGCCGCGGTTTAGGCAGCAACCGAAGGAACGAGGCTTTGGGGAAATATTTATTGAGATACATCAGTGAAAGACTGCGCTGGTATTTTGTAATGAAAGCGTCGTCGGCACTGATTCAGACTTCTTTGGTGCCTTAACGCGTACTCAAATAAAAAAAAGTCATTAGAAATAAATTACTTCCATCTTGTGGCTGGAATCCGTGTTTACATGGATTTTACTAAATTGTAGTGTTGAATATCTAGTTGAAGTAAATACGTTAGTACTGAAAGACTAGTTAAACGGCATTAATGGAGTCATAGTTAAAGTACCATGAATGTTGGGGTTCAGTAATTTATGGAAATGTAACAAGTGTGCGTATTAGATCTACTTCCCGCCCCGGTGGTCTAGTGGCTAAGGTACTCGGCTGCTGACCCGCAGGTCACGCGATCGAATCCCGGCTCCGGCGGCTGCATTTCGGATGGAGGCGGAAATGTTGTAGGCCCGTGTGCTCAGATTTGGGTGCACGTTAAAGAACCCCAGGAGGTCGAAATTTCCGGAGCCCTCCACTACGGCGTCTCTCATAATCATATGGTGGTTTTGGGACGTTAAACCCCACAAATCAATCAATCAAAATCAGATCTACTTCTGGTGTTATCATGCATTGTGAATCGGGCTGAATGCCTTGTCGGAGTTCTTAAGACTGGTTTTGACTACTTCGCGTATTTTGATGTAATGCAAAATCCTGGTACAATACTTTCTTGCTTTTAATTAAAATCATAATGCGACAAACATGACCGGAACCAAAACAGCAACCTTGTGTTTTGCGGCGAATCTTCATGACGTATGAATCATCTTGGCTGTTGTGAGTGGTAATAGAGGGTGATTTCGCTTTTTGCGAGGTAGCAGTAAGTATGGATTCACAACAGGCGCAGAAATAGAGTCTATAGTGTTTCTTGATTGATGCTATGGTTGAATGACGATGTAAATGCGTTGTGTTAAGGTGGCAGTTCAAACATAGCTTTCATTTAGATGATCCCAGGGAACACGAGTCCACGGGCTATGTGGCAAAGACGATTAATATAATGCTTTGTTCTTCCGGTGGAAAGGCACTGAAATTTCATTTTGTATATATTACTTTTAGCTGCTCTACTTAAACGTTTACCTTTCCTTATAATTTGGTCAAATGCAACTACTCTACTTTTCCGACTGTTAGCTTAACTACTTTTTCTCCAAAATGAGACTAACTAGAAATAATTGCTATTGGCCCCTCAACATTTTTTTAAACCTACGCATTCTAGTGACCCCTATGAATCTAACGCCGCCACAGTTACACGATTGCGATCAAATCACCACATGCATTTACCTAACCGACCTTTCTATATGCGTCACAACATTCTTTTATCTTTTTTTTTTCTATGCCATCGCCCCATGGTTTTTCCCGCCAACCTAGCCGGCCCTCACTAACGCAAGGTGATATGGCCAAACAGCTTCACGTACGCCCGCTCGGCCTCGGCCTGAGGTGGAACGTCCTTCCAAGGTCGTCCTTTTTGAATCTCATTTCGACTGTGGCGCTCTACGTAACGGCCGGCCCAACCGTATCAAGCGTGGCGGCCATACCAGAGGAGCGAGAACACATTTCGCCGCGACTCTCAAGGCGCTGTTAACAAGGTACAGATAAGGCGAGTGGTACTAAAGAAAACAAAACGAAAAAAAAAGTGAGCTCGCCGACTTTCACCGGGCGCTGCTGGGGGTACGGGAATTTCGGAGGCCCAAGAGGAGAGAGCAGGAAGGGGGGGTGGGGGTGGCTAATATCAGGAAGCAAAATGCCGCTGGGTGCGGTTCCTATCTGGGCAGTGATGTGGAGCGTGGTAAAGTGGCGCGCAATGGTCGCAATAAGGTATAACAAAACGGTGGGAAAGAGAGGACAGCGCTGGAACTCATATCTCTCCCGCTTCCCTCCTTCTTTACCACCCCCCACCAACCATGTCCCACGAATCAAGCCTAGCAGCCAAGCTAGAGCGAGGCACCAGGCGCGAGCGGTGGCAACGGCGTGCGCATTAGCACATTGCCCTTGCGTGAGCTCCGGAATCGACCGAGGAAGTGAGGAGGTGCGCCTTTTTCTTTTTTTTCTTTTCACTCCGACCGGTAGATAGTAGAGATGACCACACCTCACGGCGTTGGCCTTCTCGAAGCGGCCGGACCGCTAGCCGGCCAGCAGGCGCCGGACAGTCCCTGGGCTTCCGTGAGAGAGCTCGGAGAGAAGGACTGGAAGAGGGTGTTGGCGAGAGAACCGCCGTACGCAGAGTCGTACACGGCCCGACGTACGCCGACTGAAAAACTATAAGCAACCGAGGAAGTAAACATCGACAGGAAAGACCCTCGTACGATTTCCTCTTGCACTTTGCGTCTTCTATCGCTCTCCGCCCTGCTCCCGTTGGACACAGTGTCATCACTCTTCCCGCAATGCCCTTTCCCCGACAGCCCTCCGGAAAGACGTTACCTTTCGCTCGGACAACCTCCTTTCCGCCGGCCGCTCGGACACCTTCACCGCCCTCAGGTTCGACGCACCGTTAGCCGCGGAGTATATAAAGCTGCACGAGCCATTTGAACGCTGTGTCTTTTCTTCATTCGAGGAAACAGTCTTCCAGTAGCAAACATGCTGGTAAGTGGCCGACCCCACAGGTGGTATTGAAACATGGCTCAAGCGGTGGGCGCAGAACACAGACATGGGTCTACGGTATCGAAAATAGCGGAGCAAGCAGAAAAAATGTGGGGATACCTCCAGAACCGACTTTAACGCGCTTTAATATAGAAGATTGATTTCCGTGCAAGCAAGTGCGGGCTGCTACAGCGCATTATGTGCTACGTGTCGAGGAGTGTAGTTTCGGTTTCTTACGCTGAAAGGCATTCCGTGTTGAAATTGCCTTACTTTCCAGTGTACAAAGGCAAACAATGTTACCGGTGGGCAATCCCTGAAGTACCACTTTCGTAAAGGCCCCTTTTGACAGCAGCGATTCGATTTTGCTTCTATAGTTGATTCGCCTGGCTAGACGTTTAATCGAGTTATAGCCCAGCTTTGAAATGTATTGATGCATATTTCATCTAGCCCAGAAATCGCCGTACATTACCTGAATATAGTCCAGGCAAACTAAACGTTAGCTACTTCCCGGTATGGACATGGTCTCAGTTAGACTGCTTTTGCTTAATTAAACCATGATACCACATACATACGTTTCAGTGCACGATATGCTCCTACACAGAGGTACCCGGCAGTAAATGGACTACACCAAATTTTTACCCCCAAAACAAGCATTCGTAGATATTTGCACGCGACTAGGCTCTTCCTCCAGCATCAATACTGTTTAAATCTATCTTTTCATATGACCGATACCTTAGCTTAAGTTATGTGTCATGGCATCGCCAAGCTTACCGTACGCTGTCAGCTGAACTTCTTGCGACGTTAAGCACTTGATCTCACACGCTTACGCAGCGTCCTTAGCTTAAGCCAGAGCCAACCGGAAAAGGACTAGTTTGCCCATTATCTTTACGACCTGCTTAGATAGTTCATTGCACGTGTTTGTGCTTCCTAACTGCGTGGTTTAATGACCCCTTGAAAAGTGTCAACGTTTCACCATCTATTTGTCTTCGACGCAGTCCATCGCTGCTTTCCTCGGCCTGATCGCCGTCTCGTCGGCCGGCTACCTCGGTGGCGGCTACGGAGGCCTCGGCTACGGAGGTCTCGGCTACGGAGGTCTCGCCTACGGAGGCCTCGGCTACGGTGCTGGCTTGGGCTATAGAGGTGGCGTTGTTGGCGTTGCTGCCGCTCCAGTCGCTGTCGCTGCCGCACCAGTCGCTGTTGCTGCCGCTCCCGTCGTTGCCGCCGCCGCCCCATTGGTCCGCGCCGCCCCCGCGGTCCGTGCCGCTGCTCCCGTGGCCGTCGCCGCCCCCGTGGCCCTCGGCCCCAGCCCCGCCGCCATCGCCGCTGGTGCCTTCGGTGCCACCGCCGTGACCGGTAACGTCGCCAAGGCCGTCACCAGCCTGGTGTCCACCGCCCACCACACCTCCCCAGGAGTCGCCAGCGTGGCCACCCAGGTTGCCGCTCCCATCGTCGGCGCCAGCTACGGCGGATACGGCGGAGTCGGCTACTACGGCGGTGGATACGGCGGATTCGCCGGCGGATACGGCGGATACGCTGGAGTCGGCTACGGACTCGGTCACGGTGGATACGGCGTCGGCCACGTCGCTGCTGCTCCCGTTGTCGCCGTCGGATATGGCGGCTACGGCGGCTACGGCAAGCACTAGATAGGTATGGTAGGTTTCCACAAGCTGATATTCATTATTCTTGTAGCTTCTGAATGCTGTTCCGCACAATGCGCTGCAAATTCATTGTTTAAATCGTCCCGCAGAGAGTTTCCTAGTGCTGCCCTGACTTGTGGAATTGAGGGCAGTCTACAACTATAGTTATTACTTACTAGCTTGTTACGATTCATCCTTTGAAATGCTCTATAGCACATATTAGGAGTCGGCGGAGGAAGGGTGCAATTCTTTGATCTGAAGAGAGAAGGCGGAGCAGAATAGTGCAGTCGAGTGTCTTTTTGTGTTTCGTATTCTGTCACATACAAAATGGGGGCAGGACATGTGTGCGCTGGCCACCTCAAACCTACGTCACTGCACAGAAGAACAAATCCTTGCTGTTTCATATCCGACGTTATGAACCAACTAGATCAGACGAATTTAGTTAAACTGGTTATCCATCGAACTGTTCAGCACATACGTTTTGAATATTGGGCCTGCCTCGAGCATGACGGGAAGGGGGAAGAGATTTGCACATTGGGTTTAACATCATTGTGGAGTTCGTTGCCACACTGCTCTAGAACAAGTTGAAATTTATCCGATGTAACTGACATGGCTAAATGCATTCGGAGGATGTGCGTCAATACAAAGGGACTAAAGCTGTATTGTTGGTCACTAGACCCGTTGATGTTATACACATAGGTATGCAACCTATGAGCTATAATGGACCACTCGCTATCCTGACATTCAACTCTACCTGTATCGGCTTTGTAAACTAGGTACTCCTACACGCATGAGAGTGCATTAAGGTCTCATGTTTACTACGACCGAATATGCAATTGAATGATGCTATATTTAAGGGCACATTGTGAAAAATCTTGCAGTAATATACATTGTTTTTGTGTCTTTTTTTTTGCAGGTAAAGAAAACGACATTGCAAAGCTTATACATACGCTGAATGGGTGTTAGCGATGGAAGACTGGCCAGAAGACACCGATGGTCCAGTAGTGAAAGAATAAATTATTCAACTTGTTCTGCCTGGTGCATAAAATGTTCTCCTCCCTATCCCAACGGTACGACGTAGCCCGTCGGACATTGCCACCCTTGGATGAACGTACACACAACAACAACAACAACAACAACAACAACAACAACAACAACAACAACAACAACAACAACAACAACAACAACAACAACAACAACAACAACAACAACAACAAAACATGGCCTTGTTTGCGACAGCACCCAATATACACATTGACAACCTCTTTAAGAACTTCGAAAAGGTTGGGGCTCCGCTAAAGTATCACTTTTATTGAACCGATGAAAAGCACTCTTTCTGGTTTTTAGAAGCTACACGGACATGCTCTAAGCATGCTTCTTAAATCTCACAAAAAATTGCCTACCTACGTGGTCATGTTTTGACGTTGATGCCGGCCATAAAGAAAGACCTCCACTCTCTGTGTCACTATATTGGCTACTATACTGACACCGTAAACAATATGCTGCGTAGAGGCAACATACTGATAGGATGTTCAGAGTCTTATATTGACTGTTCATAATTATATTACCTATATGCATTTGAGGCACATTAGGACTTCTATTGATCAAAATAAAGACACTTGTGCAAGGCCCAACTTCCCTTGTGACAGGAACTCTTGTGTTGACCATAACAAGGGTTCTTGCTGAAACAGGACCTCTTCTGGAACGTTGGATGTAAAACAATCTAAATAACAAAGTCAGAGAAGAATGATCCGTCGTTCCTTGTTGCTAATGCTGTTAAAGTTAACGCCATTAATGGCCTTTTTGCTGTACCTAAAAAAGTGCACCTTTTTCACAACGCAATTGCAATTTATGCGTCGTGAAAACCGACCAAGAAAGATATTCTGGTGCTACGCTCTTGGTGGACATCGTTGGTGGAAATACATATTGCTAAAAGGTTGCAATAAGTGCACTCTCTCTCTCTCTCTCTTATGTTTTACTTTCTTTTGATAACAAAAAAATGTCTCCATTCTGAGAACGAGTCTAGCACTGCACGACAAAATGATCCCGCAGAAGACTTCAACACTGCCCACAAAACTGTCACGTGACGTCAGCCCTTCTTGGAGAAATATCCGTATTTTACAGCAACACGAACCTTTCTGCACTCTGTGTGACTTGAGCATGGAAATACAGACACCATGACATGGACAAGTACGTCGTTTTAGTCCCGAGGAACTGAAGATCTAGTAAACCGGAGAGCCCGCGCAGACCAAGTTCGAGGCTCTGCCCACCATGGGACCGGGAGGCTTAAGTTCCAACGCAATGTCGTGGGCCCTTGGGACGGCCCGGAGTTGACTGTGAAGGTTGCAGCTCTCCAGGAATCGCTCCCGTTGCTCATTCATCATGAGTGGTGAGGCGTTAGAGTTTGTCACAGCCGAAACATGTGATCGATTGAGCACGAGCCATTGTCACAATTGGGGCACCGGTGAGATATGTGTTAGGATTTTTATCTATGATCACCTCGTTGAAGAAGTAGCAGGGAAAAGATTCCCGAGAGCAGCGCAGTTGACGTTTTTCCTTCACTAGGCTTTTACGCCAATAAAGCAATTTTCAATGGTGATGTATACCCAAGTTTTATGGTATATAGATTATCGACCTGCTCTGCCAACGGCAGAACAACAAGGGGATGAGTTTAGGGTGTGCATAATTATCTTAGGCGAAAATTTGAGACTCCTCCTGCTCAAATAGGGCTTTACGAAACCTCTCGAAGGAATAGCTTTTGAAAAGTCCGACGCTGTGACGTCAGTTCGATCATTAAGAGTGAGCGACGTATATGAAAGGCTGTGCTGCTGTGCTCGGGACAAGTTACAGATCCAGGAATAATAAATTGTTTCAAGGCAACCCTTTAGGGATCGTGAGTTGCAAGGGGTGAACAACACGCAACCTAGTGAAATTTATACCCTTAAATGAAATACATAATCCAATAACATGCACGAAGTGGACACATATATACGATAATTTGAAACGCATCTTGACATTTTGGGCACAGATAGTCAACAACTCACTGGAAGTCTCTCTTTTGTTAGGCTGACAAGGCGGTGATTTCAGTGCAATTTGATTTCTTCCATTTGCCATACCACATCAGGAGCAGAAGATACAGGACGCGAAGCGTCAAGAAATGCATCGAGTGTTTGCAATAATTTGTACGTGTTGAGGATAACTTACCGTGTCCCAAGCAATTTGACAGTAGTCGGTCGGTGATTTCAACAGTTCTCGGAAGCACAGTTTCTTGCAATGGAATAGTGGACCTAGCGTGTTCGATGCTAGGCTCATGTAACATGGCCTAGTATTCGCTACAGAAAGCGTCCAGTCCACTCTTGCGCCAGCGGGCACACGTTAATCATAAATAAAGCTCTGCCAGACGTCTATGCCAATCCCATTTCGTGCTCTTGAAAGTGCATGTCTTGCAACATGTAAATGCCCGTGCCACAAAAGTTCAGGCACACTGCTCACCACGATACTTCAGGAATTCGAGCAAGTCGACCCAGATTGGTGCTGACACAAGAGTTTGTGAAGATAAACGAAGCAACTGCCGCAAAGGTAGCTAGCAAACAACGCCAAGTAGAGTGTATGATTGTTTTATTGTCGCAGAACGTCCGTTTAATGTCCGCTTACATACTTACAAAAAACACTTGTGCAGATTATGCAAGCCCATTGTAGTAGCAAAAAAGGTACGAGGCCTTCAATGCTCTGTTTTCCCGAGCGACCATTCCCACGCAGGCGTAGGAAGGTGCCGTCGCGGACAGATGATGCGGAAAGCGGGGAATTCTCCCAAACCGAAAACATCAACAAAGACAATGGTTTGTCCATGCCTCTCAGATAAAAGAAACTACCCACAAATTGCGACATTACTCGAAGACAAAGTGTGTTGCCTGCCGGTCGTCGGATAAAGATGAAAGTGGATGGATGGTCATTAAAACCAAGGCGCTGCGACCACGCCGAGATGCTTGGGACAATGCTCCGCATGCGCGGCGTAAAGGGCGCAGTGACTGCTTGACAAACAGTTGCAAACGACGTGTCTGCAACACCCCCTTGCTACACAACGAACGAGGCACTTGGGAACAAAATGCTTTTGCGAAACGCTTTCGCATACGTGCGCGGGGCAGAGCGCGGGCAATTTGTGAGACAATGAGAGAGAGAGAGAGAGAGAGAGAGAGAGAAAGGGACCTCGCGTCGTTTTCGAAAGCGGTCACTCGCTGACCGCAAGACCTGCCCAGGGTGGGAAGTGGGAGATCGTTACAAGCTTCCAACGCACTCTTGCTTTTCTTCGCGGTGCACTTTACTGAGCAGTGTTTTAACGGTGCGTCACAGCTTATATACAGAGTACAGCCGATTTAAGTGCAACACGTGTACCTGTGTACCAGGAGTACAAGGGCACTACATGTTAGCGGTCAACGCAGGCTTGAGGATACGAAAGAATTTGAGTGTACCTCAGATCAAAGTGTAGTAAATGTTTAAGGGCACCATAGGCTTAAGTTCACCACATGTTTGAGAATATGGGATATTTAAGAGTACCCCAGGTTTGAGGGTATACGAAAATTCCGACGGTACGACATGTTAGAGAGCCCCATTGGTTGAAGCGCGGGAAAAGTGTTAGGGTGCCACAGGTTCACGGGACACATGTGTTTGCGGGTCGGAAATGATAGCACAGCATTTTTTCGGGTGTTTTGGTAAATGGAACTCGAAGACACATTCATCGGTAGGGAATATGTATTCAAGTAAGCGCACTATGTTGTCGTCTTTCTTATGTCTCTGCTCGCTAGTGCTGAGTGTGCATTCGGGTGGGAAATGTTTAAAGCTACAATAAACCTAATAGTACCACATGTTTATAGGTAAGTGGAGATTATGAGTACCACTTGAAGACATGAAAAGTCTTAGTGTAGCACATGTTCAAGAGTGCTTAAGGGCCTACCAAAGGTGCTGGGGCGGAATTTCAGCCCCGGTCAAACCCGATATACTGTTGTTATCGCTACACAGGTCTAGAGACACTCTTTATTTCATGAAAAATTTGACTGATGCCTGGCGATGATACTCTATCCGCAACATTATTTGCACCATGTAAAATGTGTCAGTCGTAAATGGCCTTGTGAATACAGAAGCACAGGTTTGGTTTAATTGTGGTTGTCGTGTCATTCAACGCTTCCATAAGTACACCTGCAACTCCAATAATATTATGCATGTATCTGCCACCAAAAAAAAAAAACGATTGAGCTAGATTCGTTTTCATTTCAAGATTCTGTACTTGAAACACTACTTGTGGCTGTTATTGCTGCATAAGGCAACGCCTTTTAGGGTTTTTCTTGTTTTATGCAAATGGCAACACCCCCACAGGAAATATCTGGGACACTAAACGACGACAGTGCCTTAACACTTAATCTGCAGTAGAGTGCAGAGTTCGATCTGTAAAACGAAAGCAGTGTTTAAATACTTTATCTCTTGAACAGTGCACAGCTTGATTTGTAAAACAACTACAGTGCTTGCACACCTTCACTGTAGATGATTGTAGTGATTAAACTGCAGAACAACCATCGCACCAGCAGTACTCGTCAACATGAATCATCCCTTTTATACCAGGGTCAAGCAGTGTCAATGACCACTTCGTTTGTCGTGAGATGTTCGGACTAGAAGAGATCCAGCCTGCAGTTTGAAGGAAGCTGTCAAAGCGGAAGTATGTTTCATGTGGATGTTTTTTCGCTCACTTCTGCTTCCTTGGTAGACCACAGTGTCCAGGAATGTGTCGCGCAAATTGAGGAAGCAAAAACTCGATGCACCCCGGGGCAATGCCAGTGAGTCCCTGCTTGGTTTTGTCTTGTTACCCTGAGAGATTGATTGATTGATATGTGGGGTGTAACGTCCCATAACCACCATATGATTATTAGAGACGCCGTAGTGGAGGGCTCCGGAAATTTCGACCATCTGGGGTTCTTTAACGTGCCCCCCTAATCTGAGCCCAAGGGCCTACAACATTTCCGCCTCCATCGGAAATGCAGCCGCCGCAGCCGGG